CGAGTACAATGACACCTCATTTGTCACTTTTTGACATTTCATCACCAAATTATTTTCATTTTTACTTTTAAATCTAGAGCACCATGAATAAGTCAAAATGCTTAATTTTGCTCCTAGGAACATGGGAAAATTTATTTTGATCTTATTTTGTATTTTATATCCTCTCCAGACTCATTTAAAGATAGTAGAAGCGCATTTTTAGAATTATATCAGTTTTTTCAAATGGAAAGGGTATGGCTCATGAGCATGTTCCAAAAGAGCGTTTTCTAACGAGCAATTCAGTACCACACAATCGCTAGTTCATCACTCAAATTAAGAATTTTTCTAGCATTCTAAATATTTTTGGAAAATTTTAGTTCAATATTTGGATAAACTAGCGATTGTGTGGTACTGAATTGTTTGTTAGAAAATGCTCTCTCGAAATATGCTAATGAGCCATACCCTTTCCATTTGAAAAAATTGATAGAATTCCAAAAATGCGCTGCTACTAACTTTAAATGAGCCTTTAGAGGATATAAAATTCAAAATAAGCTCAAAACAAATTTTCCCATGTTTCTAGGAGCAAAATTAAGCATTTTAACTTATTCATGGCGCTCTAGATTAAAAAGTAAAAATTTAAATAATTTGGAGGTGAAATGTCAAAAAGTGACAAATGAGGTGTCATTGTACTCGTAATGTAGTTTTCTATTGAAATGAGGAAAAATTTACCTGGCGTCTCATTTAAAATAAGGAAGTTAGGGTCACTTCCAGTCAAACCGGAAGTGATAGTAAAAAATTGAATACGCCAAATAATGCACATCCGGGTCATAAATAAACACACCAAATTTCATTTGTTTATTTGAAAAAATAAAAAAGTTAGGGGTGAGCGGGTTTTAAAAAACACCCGGTATACACTTTACCTGTAAAAATACTTTGAAGAGAAGAGTTTTATGATGCAAGTAGTTTTTAAAAAAATATGGTTTAAAAACGAATAATGCTATAGCTGTTTCGAGGTAATGAATTATCAATAGTAATATAATAAGTGCAATGGAAATTATTGATAATTTTTGGGAAATTTGCCCGAATGCATTCAGTTTTCGCACCAGGGGGGGTTTATTTGAAATCCGTGCAAATCTTTCACATGCGACTCAATCGGTCGAAATATGAGCTCCGTTAAGCTGGCCCCCCCGAATTGATTTCCGTTGCCAAAATGCTGGCACAGGTAAAATGTAGCTAGCACAACCTAGCACACCAATTTTTAACGCTAGCACACCCATAGTTTAGCAAAAAAATGATTTCGAATTCGGGGGAAGCCAAGTTAACGCTAGCCCCCCCCGGTTGGATTTACTCAGCCAAAATGCTAGCACAGGTGCAAGATACCTAGCACAACCTAGCACACCATTTTTTAAAGCTAGCACACCCATAGTTTAGCAAACAATTGATTTCCAATTCGGGGGGAGGGGGCAGGCTAACGCTAGCCCCCTCCGGTTGGATTTACTCAGTCAACTCAAAATGCTAGCACAGGTGCAAGATACCTAGCACTACAGTGCCTCTATAGAAGACAGTGGCGACAATAGAGGGACTCATTTTTGATTGGCTGCAGAAAATCGGCTATGTTTTGTCGAAAGTTATTTGTGTTTACAGTTTGATTCTATGGAGATTTATGCAATTTTGTGTTAATATATTTTTGTTTTTGTTATTTGTGCCTGTTATTGACTATTTTGTGAGAAAAAATTAGAACAGAAAGAAAAGGAAGAACAAATACATTATTGAATGAGTTCGACAAAACATGGCGGGTGGGCGGAGCTTAGGCGCTATTGTCGCCACTGTCTTATATAGAGGCACTGTACCTAGCACAACCTAGAACACCATTTTTTAGAGCTAGCACACTCATAGTTTGACAAAAAATTGCTTTCGAATTCGGAGGGCGTGGTTAACGCTAGCCCCTCCCTGTTCGATTGGATTTTCTTCGTCAAAATGCTGGCATTGATAGAAAAATACCTAGAACACCAATTTTTAGAACTTGCAGATCTGTGGAGAAGCCAAAAATTGCTTCTAGATTCGGAGCGCGAAAACATCAAATGAATAATCTGATCGATTTGATTATTCCAATTATTATTGGTTGTTTGTTGTTTCATTAAATCGCAGCTAGGGTTGCCACCTCTCTGGGTTTCACCCGGAGTCTACTGGTTTTTACATGGTCTTCAGTCTCCGGATTACTAGGTGTTTTCTCCGGGTAAAACCGCATTTAACACAAAAAAAAACGCATTTAAAAAAGAAAAATAGAATTTAGCAACAGCGCAATCCTGTTTGTGCAAATACGGTTTCTCTCGGAGAAATAGAGAAATTCTCCGACTCCGACATGCAGTTTGGCGATAGAATAGACAGCCCACGAACCTCAAAGCCTCATAATCTCCCTCAAGGATATTAAACACTACTACACGTCCGCTCATTGGACTCGATTTTTGGAATCAAGACTATAGTGTTGCACCGTTATCGAAGTCATCAACAGTGTCGTTAACTGTTTGCGTCAGCGGTCGTAGTGTCGTTATAAAGATAGGCTATTCTGTTTAGTGTGTAATATTCTTGAATCTTTTTCTCCAACCGTCTCAACTCCCAACCTCAAGCAAAGTTTCCCCAAGCAACATCCGGTGATGCTGGGGAGGGGGGACTTGTGTATATACATATAGACAGATAGTAAAGTGTAATGCATCTGTTGCATTGTAGATCTGCAGATTTTCTTTTTCAGCTTTCTTTCAATAATGGTTTTTTTTTTCTCCGGTTCAACTTACTTTCAAAGGTGGCATCCCTAATCGCAGCTGTTTTTATAATTTTTATGCTGAATATCACAAAAATGTTAGTCTGAAGTAAAATTCACATAGTGACACCATGAAAAATTGTCGCCATTATTTGGTGGCAAACGGTCACAACCAGCTGCTAGTGCAGGTAAGGGCGGGTATTATAAAACTGCTTTGACAGTTAACTTGAAGTTAACTTTTTGAATTACATGTAATTCCAGAAGTTAACTCTAAGTTAACTCACAAAGAAGTTTTATAATGCTCGCCCTAAAGGATGTTACGCGTCCTCTCTTTCCTTGTCTAAGGCAAGGATACTGGCGAGTTGTACCCATGTAGAAGCTATTCCCGGAATATTCCGATAGTGCAATCTTTGCATTCCTACGTAGAGTAGGAACAGCAAATCTCTTTACGTGCCAGGTTTGTTAAATGTATGCCAGCATTTTGACGAAGAAAATCCAATCGAACGGGGAGGGGCTAGCCTTAACCACGCCCTCCGAATTCGAAAGCAATTTTTTGCCAAACTATGAGTGTGCTAGCTCTAAAAAATGGTGTGCTAGGTTGTGCTAGGTATCTTGCACCTGTGCTAGCATTTTGGCTGAGTAAATCCAACCGGGGGGGGCTAGCGTTAACCTGGCCCCCCCCCGAATTCGAAATCAATTTTTTGCTAAACTATGGGTGTGCTAGCTTTAAAAAATGGTGTGCTAGGTTGTGCTAGGTATCTTGCACCTGTGCTAGCATTTTGGCTGAGTAAGTCCAATTGGGGGGGGCTAGCGTTAACCTGGCCCCCCCCCCGAATTTGAAATCAATTTTTTGCTATACTATGGGTGTGCTAGCGTTACAAATTGGTGTGCTAGGTTGTGCTAGCTATGTTTTACCTGTGCCAGCATTTTGGTAATGAAAATCAATTCGGGGGGGGGGGGGGGGGGGGGGGGCAGCTTAACGGAGCTCGAAATATGCGCGTCGACGAATTCTAAAAATTCACGATCGGCTTATTTGAAATCTTGTGCATTTTGTAAATCGTGACTTTTTGAATTTGCACTACTCAACTTGGCAACGTGTCCTGTAAAAAATTCTAACCAATGACATTGTTAGAAAATTTCATATGACCAAACGGAACGATGCATTGAAATGTCAAATTTGAAATTGTTTACCGTCAACAACTTTTTTGATTATTTCCGTGCATAAAGTTTCGTGTTTAGTTCGAGGTTTTTCGTTTTTTTTGTTGATAATTTTAGTTCATTCTTCATTCTTTCTATAAGTGTATTGTGTAAGGCAATACCGCAAAAAGGATGGAAAGTGCGGCGGCAAGTGCCAATAAGAGAAGGTCCGGATTTGTTACCAAAAAACAAAAAAAAATTCGGTCGAATATTTGAATAAAAATCCGGCCCTTTTGTCGGGGAAATTTTCGAACTCCTTTTCATGGAAGGAATATCGAAACATTATTTTGAAAGTCGAAAGTTTTTTTTTTAATTCCCCGTCATTACCTAAGTATTGTTAATGCATGCATCTATTCTTGGATTTCTGAAGCCTTTGCGGTTATTGTTATACAATTCGACCCTTTCTAGAGCATTTAAATTAACATTATTTGCGAATTTCATGAGGCCAAGAATATTCTTTATCGACCAAACTGAAATTTTTGAGAAACTTTCGCGTGCAATTTGGAAATGCACTAGCTCTAGGGGTGACGCATGTCAAATGCAATCTTGCGTCGACGAATTTAGCAAAATGCGTTGACGAAAGTTTCGAATAAGCCACATGTGCATTTTTTTGAATTTCACCTTTACAAATTGCGACTTAGTCAGACGTATTTGAATTGCACGTTTCAAATAAACCCCCCCAGGGGGTCAATTCTTGAATATTCTCGCATACGAAAGTTGAATCGAATTCGAATGACAGCAACGTAAATTGAATAGGGAACGTTCGAAATTATATCAATATTCGTATGCGAGATTATTCAAGAATTGGGGGCCAGGGGGGGTTTATTTGAAATCCGTGCAAATCTTTCACATGCGACTCAATCGGTCGAAATATATGCGTCGACGAATTTTAAAAATTCGCGATCGGCTTATTTGAAAGCTTGTGCATGTTGTAAATCGTGATTTTTCAAATTTGCACTACTCAACTTGGCAACGTGTCCTGTGAACGATTCTAACCAATGACATTGTTAGAAAATTTCACGTGACCGATCCATCAAAATGTCAAATTATTCAAATTTGAAATTGATGGAAATCGTTAAACGTAAACATAGTTTTTAATTCTTTTCGTAAATCCGTGGATAAAAGTTTCGTGTTTCGTGTCGCCAAATAGCGCTGTTTAGTGCTCAGTTAGTGTTGTATAACAATATCGCAAGGATGGAAAGTGGAAATAAAAAAAGTTCCGGATTTGTTACGAAAAAACAAAAAGAACTTTTGGTAGAATTTATGAATAAACATCCGGACCTTTTGTCGCGAAAATTTTCGAACTCTTTTACATGGAAAGATTCTCGGATGCTGTGGGAGAAAGCCGCTGCAATTTTAAATGCTGTACCGGGCAGCGTTAAAAATTGGGAGCAGTGGCGTAAGGTAGGAATTAGGTCTATAAGAATCTAAATAATAAGGAAAAATATTAAAAATATATCGAAACTTGGCTTTTAAAGACATGGAAAGATCTGCAAAGCAGAGCAAAAACCAAGCAAGGCGCCTTCAGAAAAGATCTTAAGCGCACTGGAGGGGGTTCAAGAGTGCCAAGTCCGGATTTGGATCCTACGGAGCAGGCAGTATTGGACACCATTCCAATCGTGTCTATCGAGGGCCATAATGTGCTGGAAAGCGACGTCGTACTATTTATAGATGTAAGTATTGTAAGCAACAATGAGAAGTGCCATTCACCTTTCTCAAAACTAGTAGATTTTACTGTGTTAAAACAAAAAAAGGATTGTTCTATACCCCTAACATTTACTTAGCCTTATTAGCTTTTTTTTGAACATTGTTTAGATACAAGTTGCACCACAGAATCAAAAGCTAATGATCTGTTTGTACTAATAGGTAAATTGGTATGGTCGTTTCTTAAGTAGCTTGGACAGCTTCTTTTTCTAACATACACCTAAGTTTAGTTTATTTTAGGATGAAAACCCGAGCGAAGCTACTATCAAACCTGAACTGCCTCTACTCTTAGAGTTTCCTTTTCCTACCATTGCCTTACCAAGCTCCTCTCAAGATGGTATGTACTAGTGATGAAAATTTTCTTATTATTATTACCTATATATTTTATAATTGACAGTATTGAGTGCAGTGCACCAAATTAATTTTCACTGTCACTGTTTTATACTTTTTTTAATTTAATATTATTCATTTATTTAGAATATCCTGTAAAATCCATTCCAGTGCCCAGCACAAGTCAGGAGAAAAGTACTCGTGGTAAAGACTTTTTCATGTTATCATTAGTCACATAATTTTTCAGTAAATTCAAAATAATTGTTCTGCAAAACAACTCCCTACTTAAGCTCAAAATGGCAGCAAATATATGCATTTATTTTATGCATAGAGGTATTACCTGACCAACGGAAATATAAAAAAAAAGTTTTATAGTTAGTGCTACAATAATTTATCGCAAAATGTTTACAGATGTTTGGGACAGAAATGGGTGTATTTTTTGTTCACCTTCTGTTATATCAAATTTCAGAGATACCTACTAGAATATCAAGGAAGAGTGCTGGTAAAGTTTTAGAACATATATTAGGAAATGCTCAAAAATTAGGAGACATACAAGAAAGGCATTACCAAACCATTGAGGGAATAGAAGAGAGAAAGGCAGTGGCACTTGAGCGCTTAGCTGCTGCGAAAGAACAAGAGAACACAATTAGAAATAGACAAGCATCAGCGATGGAAAAAATCGCTGAAATTCTCCTATCTTTCATTTCGAGTTAATTTTTCACTTTTTTCTCCAAAATTTGTTAAACAAATTAGATTTAGATTCTACAACATTAAATGGAAGCTTTTCCTATTATTAATCAAAAAAAAAAACTTGTTTTTCACTTTGTGTTGGGAATGTTGTGATTCTAATACGCCAAGATCACTGATATCAACATAATCGTAGGTATATATCTAAATTTTACAGGGTCTTAAAAATTCTCACTTTTTAAGAATCAATTAAAAAAATGATAATAATTTTTGCTTCAAAATGAAATTACATAGGATCAATGAATGATTTCATCCATTGAGGTAGAATTATAGGGAGGCGAAATGATGAGACCAACGTGTCCCCACTTCCGCCATATTGTTACTAGTCATATCGTCGCGCATTGTATATTATTGCATAGGGCTGCATTTTCCATCCAAAGATGTTTTACATGTGAAACATTTTTGAGGCGCAGAATTTCTATTTTGGGTCTTGGAAGCACTGGAAGTCTGTTGCACTATACAAATGATAACAGCTTTTTTATTTTCAAATCAAATCAAATTAAAATATGCTTTATTGTTTAGAGATACAAATCTTGATAACAAAGCTGCAATACAATTTATTTAAAATTAAAATCATGAATAAAGTAGGTAAATAAAATCAAAGAGAACAGAACAAGAATAAAAACTACTATAAAATGTATCATAATATTATTGCACTAGTCGAGCAAGGTAAGGGAAAGGTTAAAAGAGCGAGAAAGCAAGATAAAAAGACTGCTCAACATTGGAACAAAAAAAAAACAAATAAAAATAATCAAAAAGGAGAAAGATAAAATTAAAATTAAAATTAGAAACAAACTCAATGATACATGCCGTTTGCACCAATCGTTTGGGAGAGGCTTTAACGATAAGTATTCCTTAAAATAAAATTTTTACATCGGTAAATATTACTTTCATACTTATCGCTAAGGCTTCCTCAGAATCGTTGGTCAAAACAGCTATTAATCCAACAAAATATAATTAGAAATAATTTCTAACTATATTTTGTTGAATTTGCTGGGCTTCAGCCAACAGAGGATTGACTCTCTGCACATGAACATCCCTTGCATTATCATCCATATTGTCGAAAAGGATTTCGTTGTACCCCTCTCTAGGTGGTTCAACCCTATAATGAACACACATATTATGTAAAACACAACAAGCATTTACTATTTTTGAGGAAAATAAGGGATCATAATGCAAAGTCCGTTCACGGCAGAGACACCTCCAACGACTTTTTAGAACGCCATTGCATTGTTCAATGAGGCAACGGCATCTCCGATGAGTGTGATTGTATCGCTCCTCTGGTGTTCCAGGTTGTGAATCTCTTAAAGGGGTCATGAGCCACGGTCTCAGGGCGTATCCTGAGTCACCTACAATCAAAGTAAAGAGGAATTCATTAACTAAACTAAATCTTATCTAATCTAAGAACCAATAAATACATAATCGACCAAAAAAGAACTTGAACTGATTAACATGTCTAGTATAACAAAATAACAAGCTCTGATTAAAATTTATACAACAAATCACTTCTTATTTTTAGCTACATTTTATGCTTTCATAAATAAAATAAAAAAAGTACTGCATAGGTACTTAAAATTTTCATAGATTTTTTGCGATAGTCTGCGCGAGTATGGCTTACTAGTAATGCACCATTTTTATGACAGCTTTTGAAGAGGCTTGAGACAAAATTGATTATTTCTGATTCTTACCTAACAGATAATAATAACCAGTAATATTTCTCTCATGCAGAGTGGTGAAATACTGACTTACAGAGCTCTGGTTCCAAATATGTTTGTCATTAGATGACCCAGGAAACTTGGCATTGACATTGAGGATCCGTAAATCATAGTCAAATATCTAAAATTAAATAAACAAGAAAAAGTTATTCCTTACTCGCACAGAAGCTATTGGACCCCAAAAATATATAAAATTATGTGAGTGACAGCAAATGTTCATCCACTTCCACAGAATTTTTTCCCAGGTATTACCCATTTTCTTAATTCTAAAAATTATATAAATATACTGGCACAAACTTTTATTACTACATACATAGTACTAAGTTACTGAGAAACTTTACCCTATATAGCACAAAATATTAGGTTTCTTACCAATTGCACATTTATGGAATGATATCCCTTACGGTTCACATATATGTGCTCGGGAAATCTACCATCATTTTTTGGTGGAGGGTGAATTGCCACATGGGTACAATTAACGCAGCCCACTACGCCAGGAATGTCATATTTTTGATAAAAGCTTAAAATAAATAAGTAGGTATTGATGGCCGTTTGCACCGACAATTTTAAGGAGAGCTTAACGATAAGTATTCCTAAAAGTGACATTTTTACATGTAGATAAGTCATTTTAAGTTATTCTTATGGTTAAGCCTCCCTTAAAATTGTCGGTGCAAACGGCCATGAAAGGTGTATATTATGTTGGCCAAGCAAAATGGTTTTATTGAATAGGCCATATATGTGATTTTTCATTGTCTAATGCCCGCTACTCCAAACCAAATAAATTAGGTACAATTTTACAATATATGTACTTACTTTGTTCTTAAGGCATTAGTAGATATCCCGCCGCTACAAACCATCCCCACTCCTGCCTCCTGAGGGGTCGTGGCCCCGCCCTTCTGCCGTATAGCTCCTCCCCTTTTCCCATTTATGGACTCTTTTGCGATGTTGCCCCGCCCCTTTGCCGCCATTAGGTTTCTTTGTTCGGCCAATCAGGGCTGGTCCCGTCCCTCCTGCTGAATTAGGCTCCTCCTCCTGTCCATTCATTTGTTGTTGTTGAAAATGGCGGCCGTCCAATGGTTTCTGTTGGCGGCGGCGGCTATGGTACAATATGCCCGCCAACTTATGGCCGTCGCCCAATAGCTGATGGCGGCGGCGGCCGTGGCGGTGGCGGCAGTACTGACGACTTTTTTTTTTGTATTTTATTAAAAAAGTCTGAAAAGTCTGGGCTCGAACCTGCGACCCCAAAATCCAAAATCAAGAGTGCTAACCACTGAGCTATCAGGGTATCTCAAGAAATTGTGTCCTAAGCTTGTAGACATCATGATGCGAGCTAATTGAGGAAAATTTGAAAGAGCGAGAGGGCTAAGGGTGAAGAAGATGATTTGATAACTTGTATGGACTTGTCCAGCTGATAATTTTAATGTAATTTGGTGTACGGGGAAAAATAATATGAAAACTCAATTTTCAATTACGAAATTAAACGAGATAATTGATTAAGGTATTACCTACTACTTTATTATTTTACTGTATAAACATAAATAAAACTAAAAATTAAAGTTTCCAGTGCGTACGCTTCCATCCATCGGATTGTAGGTGAGAAAAGCATAATGTAGAATAAGTGTGCAGAAATTCGCCAATATCCATTATTGGGTCATTTATTTCTCGCCTATAATAGCTGCTTTGGAAGTTTTCATACGAGTCATAGACGGAGGTAATTAGCTTTTTAGTAAAATCGAGACTCCATCGCTCGTACGGATATACATCGGAATTTAAATAAAGTCTAATGTTTCGTATGTTGGCATCGGTGAACGCTAGCCTGTTGTCGTGGTTTTTCACCTTCTGAAACCCAATAAAATCATGTCAATAATTTCATTTTACTAGGTAGGTAGGCATCCATAGTCCAAATTGAAAATTATAGATACCAACGAAAAATAAAAACATTTGTAGCAAATTAAAAATGAGCAGGAAAAAGTCAATTTTAATTGGAACTATGAATTATGTAATAATATAATTATACTGTAATTATCAGCCAAAATAATAATTTATCTAGTTTACCTCGTCCGAGCTCCTTTTTTTTTTTTCATTCGTCACGGACCTCCCCGCAAAGCATCACCTCCTGTGTTTCTCCGGGTCTCTCTAGAAGCTCTCTGGATCTGGCTCGTTCTCTGATGGGTGTTCGAGCGATTTTCAGTGTGTCTAAACCAGAACTTGGAACGAAAACACGTCTCGACCTGTTTTTCGCGTTGACGATTTACCTATAAAAAAAAAAAAAATCATCACGCTACATATATAGTTAGGTTTTTGAATTTTTACCTCAAAATTAATTCCAAAACAGCAACAGGCTGGCTCGCCGTTGAAGCCGATTTATTAAAGCCTGATTCATAAACTCCACCGTTCATGTCTGACCGCCAGAGTTTATGAATCAGGCTTTACGCACGCCCCCAGATTTTTCTGAGAAACTATTTGACCTATCTCTATTATTTTTAATAAAGTAATATTCGCTATTTCGAGTATTATCTTATTGAAAACAATATTAATGAGGCTCGGTCGTTTCCTGGAAGAAAAAAAAAATCACCTGAAAATTAAGAAAAAAAATAAGCGTTTATAAGATTTCCTCATCCTCTCCGTCCATGGGACTATCTTCGCGGTTTTCTTCTCGGCGTTCTATTCTAGCATCAAATTCCAGTTCGTAAAGGTTGCCGTTTTCCCAGGGATCTCCTTCTAGGTGGTCTCGTTCAAACATCTGAAAATGAGAATAAAGCAAATTGAGAATTCCTTCGGGAAGCGAAAGAATAGCGTATGAATAATAATAATTGTGCTGTGATAATGGAAAAGCGGTTGAAATAATAATCTAAATAAGTAAGGTTACCGCGTCTAAGTCTTCCTCCTCCTCCTCCTCCTCGTCCATGGCATCATCTCTACCGTCTTCCATATCGGGTTGCTCTTCCGGTCGCGCCACGTTAGGCATGAAAAACTCAAAGGAATCGGATGATCGATCCGAATCCAGCATCTCTAAATCCTGGTCAATGTCGCGATCCCGCCTCTGCAGTTCCATCAGGCGTTCCCGCTCCTCCACGATATTTAAAGTGGCCTCGGAATCGGAGAAATAGGCCATTTCCGAAGCCACCGACGGGGCATTCTCCGCAGCAGGGGTAGCGGGGGCCGCAACAGCAGCACGAGCATTGGCATGGAGCCTATCATCAATTTGGAGAAAGAAGTTCTGTAAATTTAAACAAAATTTAAAAACATGAAACAGGGTGTCGTTTTGTAGAAAAACTTACTATAGGCCAATCCAAGA